CCTCCAGGCCTCTCTGTCCTCCACCACTTAAGCTCATGCCGATTGCTTCAGTGACTCCATCTAGCCACCTCATTCTCTGCTGCCCCTTCTTCTTTTGCCATCTATTGTTCCCAGCATTAGGCTCTTCTCCAGGGAGTCCTTCCTTCTCATTAGGTGGCCAAAGTATTTGAGTTTCATCTTCAGGATCTGGCCTTCTAAGGAGCAGTCAGGGTTGATCTCCTCTAGGACTGACCGGTTTGATCACCTTGCTGTCCAAGGGACTCGCAGGAGTCTCATCCAGCACCACAATTCAAAGGCCTCAATTCGTCGGCGCTCAGCCTTCCTTATGGTCCAACTTTCACAGCCATACATTGCAACTGGGAAACCATAGCCATGACTATACGCACTTTTGTTGGCAGGGTGATGTCTCTGCTTTCTTCTGGTAGGGCTGCAAACTGGGAGGGCTTCTGAAGGCAGCTTCCTATGCTATTTTCATTTCAAACTGAGCCCTCCTACCAGGAGGCAAGGCTGACCCAAGAAGATTTGCTCCCTGAGGCAAAGGACAAGATGTTGCCTTCCTTGATTATTTACGAGTATTTATGCCTCTTCAATACTGCCCAATAGCAAAAGCTCCCTGGGCAGCTCACAGCAATTAAAACCATAAATTGCAACATGGTAACATTCAATATAAAAGTTTAATACTACAGTATAAACTAAAACATAAAATCCAAAATAAAACCTACTAGTAATGCAAAGATGTAAAATACAACAGTGGATTTTGCAACACTATAATTCCTGGGAGAATAATTCCACATACAGAAGCTGAATGGAGTGGCAGTTGAATCGTACCTCAATGCTGGCAATGGGGCCACCTGTCCTCTTCAGATGGGGACTGTGATGACTGGGAAACCGGGAGTGTGGGGATCGAGATGGTGGAGGAAGGTGAGGTTATCTCAAGGCTGCCATCTCCAGGTGCTCAGGCAGACCATGGAAACAGACAGGGCTTGGAAGAGAAGGAAGAGGACAAGTGTAAGGAGGAAGATGAGCCCATGCTGGGTCTAGTCCTTGACTCCATCTTTCTGTTCATAGAACAGCCAATCAACTGCCTATGGGAGGCCCACCAGTAGGACATGACTGCAAGAGCATGAATATCCCACCAGAATCCCCCAGCATCTTAAAGGCAGTATCTTAGGGGCAATCCTGTAGGCAATATCTAGCCATCCTGACTAGCAGCTATTGATCACTTAAGCTTAGCCTACTCCAGGGCCTCCATTAGATCCTGGCATCTTCAGACAGTTGCTGAGAGCCAAGCACCATGATAGGGCCCACAGCAGACCCGTACCCTTGGCTCCCCTTTTGTAGTGCTACACTGGATGGTTGGTTGCTTTGATTTCTCATGATCTCCTAAAGCAGCCTTCCGAAACTTTGTGCCTTCCAGTTATGTCTCGACTGCAACACCCAGAATTCAGTCAGTGACCCTGCTGGATGGGAATTCTGGAAGATGCAGTTCAATGCCTTTGAAGGCCACCATTTGGGGAAGTCTGTCCTAAAGCAACAGTGCACTGGGGTCCCTCCAGAGCAGAAATACAGACTCTCTTTTAGCCCAGGGGCCACATTTCATTTCAGAGAAATTCCTAAAGGCCAGATTCCAGTGGTAGATAGGGTTGAAGACAAAGAGGGCAGGGCCAAAATATTTAAAAAATCCATCATAGTTTAGCATGAAATATGAAAAGTCAGTAATTAAGCTTTAGGATATGCTTAAAATGGGGAAGAAATGGCTCTGGGAAACCACCAAATGTTATGTGGTTGGGGGAAATGGTGGAGCTGGCAAGAAACATGGAATTAGGGAACCCCCAGGAGCTTAGATTGAGCCCCCAATCCTGAGGCTCTCTGCTCCTATTCAATACTTGGTAGGAGAGTTAAATGACAGCCCCTAGCTACCTACCAGATACCCCATCACCTGGAAATCCACTAGTGCTCATATGGGCTCCCACCTTTGTAGGAGGAGGAACCTTCAGACCTAAAACTGGCCTCCCTCAATGCAAGATGTTGCCCAAATGACTGGGGTGCCTGTAAGGTTGTTCTGAGGAGTACAATTATATAGTGTAAGAAGCAGTTTGAACACACAGTGAGTACTATAGATGTGCACCTTATTGAAACTTGGTGTAGTCCCACCCTTTGTAGAGAGATGCTCTGAGTGTTCAGTAGCAGAGCATGCAGAAAGACAAGGGAGGAGCCCATTTCTGTGAAGCAGAAGCTGCACCACTCACAGTGTGATTTCCTATAGAATTCCTGCTGCTCACACTTACTGGAAAGTGCCTCTCCTAAATGATCAGTTCAGAGTATTCTCAAGCAACTGGAGTGCAATTTTGTTCCTTCATTATTAAAAATGATATGGTTCTCTTGCATGCCCCTTGGGTAACCTCTCAATATAGATTTAATTATGCCTCATTCTTATCTAGAGTACAGTGTGATATTATTAGTGATGAGCAAACTCCCCCTGGCCCAATTCAGAACGAGCTCGAGTAAAAATGATCTTCTTTTTAAAAAGAAGGCTCGATAAATGATAGAAACTAAATCACTTTTGCTTGAGTTTATTCTGAATTGGACCCCAATATATTCTTGACAATGATGCTGGAAGATGGAGGAGCCCTGATGGCTTTCTTCCCCACTGCAAAGGCTCCATGTTGTTGCTCCTGTTTCCTCAGCCATGCCTAAGCAGGGCCCATGGGGACCTCTGAGTTAAGACCTGGCCAGGCATTTCTGGTAGCTGCCCTCACTGCAAAGACGTATGAGGGCTTCATTTCCCACCCTTTCTCACACTAATCGGAGACTGCCAGGTGTGCTTGCCACAGCCTGTGAGTTTGATGAGAACATGGTGTGCTGGCTGCCTTTCTCTACATGTTGTGGGAGCTATGAAGAGCTATGAAGAGCTATGAAGTCAGATGAAAGGACTGTCTGGTCCAGCAGTCTGTTCCCACAGTAGACAACCCTCAGGAAAGCAGGCCCACATCTTCAGAGGTTTCTGGGCCCCATCCAAAATGGAATTTGGGATTCAACCAGAAACAGCCGTTCAGCAATGCACATGTGATATGCCTGGGGATCATCCCTTCTTTCAGGATATCTAGCTAAAGAGCTGGCCTCAAAGGCAGGCATGGTCAGATACCTGGCAGAGAACTTCTTCTTCACCACTACCACCTATTTGTTCATCTGCCTCTTGTTATGGACCACACAACAGTACTGGTGAGAAGGAGTGCAGCAGATGCCACTCCCTGTTTGCCTGTGGGCTTCTTTGCTTGCTCTTAAGCAAGTAAAGGATAGAAATGACGAAGAAGAGAATGAAGAGCAATAGCATCTGATGGCAATCGTGGTGTGAAGGCAGACCCACTGAGGGAGGGACCCATGGGGTGGGGGGTGCCTTGCCCAAGGGCCTTCAAAAAGCCAGAGCTGTCAGTATTCAGTAGTGCAGTATTCATAGGCTATTAGTTCAAATCTTGTTCGTGTAAATACATTTTCTATGCACAGGCATTTTTAAATACACAACAGCCCAATTCTATGCATATGCATGTGTCCCATTTCATTCAGGGGGCTTTCCCCCCAATGAAACACGTGTGGAATTACAGCATCAAGTCTTTCATACAGGCCCTTAGTATGCTTCTGCTACAGTTAATAGAAATGTATTAATTTATGACTGGTATCAAAATGATAAAGCCCCCTTCTGCATGCTAGGATACCAGTCTGGAATGAGGCCCTACACAGATTGATTTGATTAGGAAAAAAAGATCAGACCTCATCTTTAAAGGACTTCTGCTAGTTACATCGCTCACGTAGTGTGTAGTTTAGCCCTTGTGGGGTGCAGGGGGTATCTGGATGGAGTCAGGCATTTCCTTTTGCTTTTCTGAAGAGATTTTTTAATAAAACTCTGCTCTAACTTCCAGACTGGTATATGCTCTGAGTTTGTCATGATCCTGGCAAATCAATATGATGGACATTTTCAGATTCTCCGTTATGACACAAAAGTTTTTTTTTAAAGATTGTGCTATATTTAACAATTTTGAATCACCTGTACAGTTTTTCTTTAAATACAACCTGCTATCACACTTCATTCTTCCTCTTTTCACTTACCCTCAGGGAATAGGGGAAAACCTGCTGCAAATTTCAGGAGTGCTATGTGACCTGTTAAATAAACCTTACCGAGGAGGCTCAAGTCAGTAGTGAAGGTTCAACGGACAACTCAGAGATGAAGCTATGTCAGGCTGGGAGTAGATGAGAGCCTTTCCTTTCCCCATACCCCTGGTCTCAGCAAAGTTTCCTGAATGTGCTGCATATTTCCAACTAGAAGCAAAACCCTCCCCAACCCCCCCAAACCTTGCAAACTTCTGCAGCTTTCCTAGTACAGACCTGTTTATAGGATTATCATTTCCTGAGATCATTGCAATGGGCATGATGTAATTATCATGCTGGCCTTGTTCAGTACTCTTCTTTAAGCCTCCACTTCAGCATTAATCTTGTAGCTCTCCAAGTGTCCTTAATGATAAGGGAGGGTGAACCTTGCAATAGTCCAAGCTTCTGCAAATGACATTCACTTGTAACCTGAAGAAGACAATTCTAATCCTCTCTGGTAAGAACTAAAGTCATTCACTATCCATTACCAATATGGTGGCATAGCATGTGGCCCAGATGGGCAAGCCGCTAACTTGAGGATCTGCACAAATGATTGGGATTTAGCAGCACAAGTGCTGGAAGGCACAGAGGACTATCAGCAATGATAATAGAATCCTAGAATCGCAGAAAAGTAGAGCTGGAAGGGTCCATGAAGGCCATTGGGTCCAACCCCCTGCAGTTGCAGGTCACCAAGTTGCACCATCTACTCAGATGGCTGTCCAGTTTCTTTCTGAATCTCTCCAGTGTGGGAGAGCCCACTACCACTCTAGGCAGCCGGTATTGGCATGTCTTGGATGAATTTGTCAGGCCAAATGTTTCACTCACCCTTCTCCTTCCCCTTCTCCTTCTTCCTTTAGCACAACGGGATCAATTGCTTGCACACAGCAACCAGGCCGAGAGCAATGCTGTCAGCGAGGAAGCACTGGGAAACCAACTGCAGCCGCGGCAGCAGCCAGACCTCAGCGACCCAGGTCAGTGGTTGTAATTACTGCAGTCCCTAACACAATCATTGTCAACACTATTTATTAAAACCAGAACAAAAGAAATCCCCTCGGCCACCAAAAGCGAGGTGATGAAGCATTGGCGTCTCTTGCAATCTTGTTTCCTTTGTGGGTCTGCGCCGAAAGGTGAGGGGGCAAAACAGGATATTGAGAGAGAATGGGCTTACACGGGCACCATTGTGTCAGGAGGAAAAACAATTTTCAGGGACAATGTGACTGGATGCAATGACCTCCAGGGCTACAATGGCATATGTTAAATTGTTATTCATGTCAGATATTATTAGCTGCTAATGCCATTCAGTGATCCAGAGATAATGACAGACAGGTAATCATGCCTTTCGCACCTGACAAGCCAACTGAAGATTTGCTGCATGCTTTTCAATCTCTCGTTGCAGTGGGAGACAAGGAAGTAATACTTCCCTCTGTCTGTTCACTTTCTGTTCCTGTTACCCTCATCTGCATAGAGTCCTGGTCACTGCAGCTTTAATAGCTTCCATGTAGCCTGAAGTGCCTGATCCTGCCTAATCTTGGAAGCTAAGCAGGGGCAGGCCTGGGCAAAAGTGGGATGGGTGACTTGAGTGTATGATTCTATGATTATTGCTGTCAACTGCCTAGAGAGCTTTGGCTATGGGCAGTATAAAAATGTAATAATAATAATAATAAATAATATAGGAAGCCTGGAAGTCCAGGGGCTACTTCTCCCCCATTCCAGTCCCGTGGAGAGCATGACAGCAGGGGTGGACATAGGACCAGGTCCAACCAAGGAAACTGTGGTTCTCAACTCCTATAGGATTTTTCTCCCACCAAAACTGACAGGGAAAACTAGCAGTACTAGAGAAAACAAGGTGAGTTAAGAGACCAGATAGCAATCTCCTTGAAACACAAAAGAGACTGTTCGTGCCAATGGACCATGTGGGATGGCTATGAGAAAGCAAGTCACAGTGGCCGCTGTGGGCTTCTTTGCCATGCACAAATAAACAGACCTCCAAGATACGTTTTAGCTCATTTTATGGCAGTCCAAGAGCTGGTTCCATTTTTGTCTGTGGCCTCTTTGTACACTGTGGGACAGAGACCAGATTATTTTGCCTAAGTGATGTTACTGTTATCATATTCTGGCTACAGTAGTATATTGAGATTAATTGGGAGATTTCTGTTTGTACAATACTTTGAAGGAATCCTTAGGAAAGCAAAGAAGGTGTTCAACTAAGCTAATGGAATTCTTTTAGAGAGGGGACAGCAGTTTCTTTCTTCTTTTTTTTGTAGTTCCAGCTATGGTTTACTTGCATACACAGTTTTTTTGTACTGCAAAAATGAAAAAAGAAACTGCTATTTAACTGGGTTCCTGCAGAGAATTCAGTTCTATTGTTTAAATAAATGTGTCATACTCCTACAGCAGGTAAACCAATTCTTAGGATGACTCTTAAGGAGTAAAACACATTAATTTGAACAGTGGAATAGGAACCCAACTAAGAAGATTCCATTTATGCTCATTAAATTTCTGTTAACTATTCAATATACTCTCCCAGAATTATAACGACTTTGTAATGAATATGGATTATTCAGCAATTATTTTGCTGCTGTGCTTGTATGAATGTCACTCATAACTCAAGATTCATGACAAAAATCAAAATGGTCCAGTCTTATTAATGGCTGCAGAAACTTCTTGCTCTACTTTTGGCAATTGCTGATACAATTTTTGTTTCAGCACTTTCTGCTTTTCCCTTTGTGGTTTAATTTAGTGACTTTCTTCGTCTTTTGTTCCATTCTTTTTCCTCCTACCTAGCTGTTGCACAAAAAATGAATGAACAGATTAGCAGCCAGGAGATGAAACTGACTTTACTACAGAAGAAGGTTGACAACATTTCGGTCGTCATGAGTGATGTGAGCAAGACACTCTCCTCTCTGGAAGGCAAAATCAATGAAGATAAGGGCAGAGACTTCCAGGCTTTTCTAAAAGGTAAAAGAAAGAAATTAATGCAATCACTCACCCAGTTAAAAGTGCCAGGGAAAGAGCAAGAGAAGGAAAAGGAGAGCAAGAAGCTATCAGAAATGGACTTAGACTGTCCTATTGTATTATTCCACATTCCTCAAGGGAAGTATATTTTGATTAGCTTGTTGCTTTTGCTTTAGGTAGTGCAGATTTTTGTCAAAATGAAACAAAACGAACCCCCTGCAAAACCAGACTGGGACAGTGGTCTTTGGGACTGTGTGCCTATTCCTGCAAGAGCTGGGGCTATTAGGAAGGCCTTCCCACAAGTTTGGAAGAGGCACATGAGAGCCAAGCATGCCCCCTTAGGGATGGATGTGTGGAGGGATGCTGTTGTTGTGTTGTGCATGTAACTTGTACAAAGGCCCTAACAGAAAGACCTGTGCCTTCTAGACAGCATCTTGAGGGCCATGAATTTGCCCCAAGTCTTTATTTTTCCTTATATAATGTTCCAATGTCAAGTGCCATTTGGGCAGTAATACATTTGGGATAAGAACAACGGCAAACCTAGAGCTGATAAAAAAGTTCTCTGTATATTACTGTTCCATTCCTTGTTTACCTCTGGGGTATATCAGCACCAGATATTGCTTCAAATAGCATCACTTTGCAGTCATATTTAACTTCTGTCCCACTTCTGTCCCTTTGTGCATTTTATTGCTATATGGCACTTTTGATCCTTGGTTGTATATTCAGTATGTCATTGAACATTTCCCATTTCCTGTTTGCTTCCTTTGGACCCACTTCAGTCTAATCAGTTACTTGCACATTAATCTAAGATATATTTTGGGAGAGCCAGTGTTGGAGCAACTCCTACCTCCTTGCTACAACTTGGATTCTTTCACATTATCCATGCACAATAGGATCATACACACACACAAGAAAATCACCAAGACTGCAACAATCATGTGAATCTCCTCCTGTCAAGCGAGCATTCCAAAAGCCACACTGTCACACTGATTCATACCACATCTCCATCTCACAAGCAATGGCTCTGTAATCCTCTATGAATCAATGCTCTTCTACAAGTAGGAACAGAAAAGGGCACTCGACTTTTCTTCTCCCTACAAGTGATGCAATGTGCCCAACAGATGGAGTCCCAGTATAATCTTTATGCAAAATTAGTTTTCTCTAACCACACTTGAGAGGAAGATTGTCGAAAGCTTGAAATGGGATATTTACTTAATATTAATGGACACCATCTTCTTGCAAAAGGTTTTAATTCCATGTGAATCATTCAGAGCTTCTAGGAATGGGGCTGGTCTATAAAAATATAAACAAAAAAATAAACTGAAGTAGACAAAGTAAATAGGCAGAAGTAAAACCAAAGTAAGTATCTCCCTATTGGGATTATCCATTTAGGGCAAAAAAAAAAAAAAAAAAAGGGAATATAAGTCCTAGCATGGCTGGATGGGGTATGCTGGGAGTTGTCAGCCCTTCTTCTGTCTAAACTTGTGGAAGATTCTGCCTTTAGTACCTTCTCACCCAATTATTTTTCCTTCCAAAGTTTTAACTAAAGGTTAAAGCAAATTTATTGCTTATTCCAATGAATTTGACATGTAGCAACATGGTACTCCCAGTTACTTTGTGGATCTGTTCAACAGGGAAGAACATTCCAAATTCCACCATAACTAGAGACGTTTGCCATCCTTACTGAATTTTCAAAAAATTTGGTGCAGCAGTAGGCTAACCGCTTCTGCGTCATATACAGTTATCTTGTCCTTTTTCTAGAATTGTGTTAGCTGGGAAATGAGTTTCAGATTTACAGCTGGTGCCACATTGGTTCATAATTGAGGTACAAACACAGGATCAGGACAGCGTCCACCTAGACCAGATATTTTGCAAATATCTCAGCAAACAGCAGCATGCGCTAAGTGGTTCCCTGGACATTGACTCAGCCTGCTTTCTGCCACTCACAGAATCTTTTACAGTTTCATTAATGTTCTCCTGATGTACTGCCCCAGAAGAGAATTCCAAAGATTGTCCTGAACATTTTCTCCTCACCCTCTGTAAAAATGGCCTTTGTCGTGGCACCTCCGTAAAGAATGCTTCCCCCATATTTTTTCCCGTCAGGGTCTCTCTTTGAAGCCTCCAAGAGAGAACATTTAAAAAACTGTTTTCACCATGAGCTGATGGTGATGTTTATCTGACTTTCTTATTAAAGGCTTATTGCTTTATTTAAGATGTAGCGTTTTACCCATTTATCAAGGAATAAGCCTCATTTAAGCAGCGATCTTATAGATAGAAATAAGTCCTATAACTTCAAGCGTTCCTTGGCCAGCCATGCTGTTTGGAGAATGTGCAGAACACTGTGAGCTGTAAGACATTCATTGAATTCCACCTGTTCTTTGTGGAACATACCTCAGAATAGGATTATGCTACTTCTCTGTTTTAATGGATAATCGTGTGTATGTGTGCGTGTGAATATGTAGCTCTGGATTTCTCAAACATCCATATTTTGCAGCTGAAGATCTCAGCAACACAGTATTTGCTGTTCTGCTCCATCAAGTCAGCTTTGACCTATGGTGACCTAAGGAATGAAGCTCTCTTAAATGTCCTGTCCGTGACAGCTCCATCTAGCTCTTTCAAGTCCAGGGCAGAACAATATACCAAAGCACAATTTTTTACACATGCATTTTAGTATAAAATACACCTAGAAATCCATGAAATGTGATCAAATATATTTACCTCTGCATATTTCTGTGACAAAATCCAGTTTAAAATATATGGCTGAATAAACAAGTAAACATTTTCAGGCAGTTTAAAAAATTGCAAAAATGCAGAAACAGGACAGAACCAATTTAAGAATGATCACATGAGGAAATACACAGACTGGAAACAGAATGATCTATTCATCTCAATAGAGACACACAAAGATATCAAGATGCGTCCAATTTGTCTGAGCAGGGACTTGTACATTTTGCTTGGCTTTCAATTTGGTGTCAAAATTCTACAGGTAGGATGCCACACAGAGCAAGCTTGGCTCTGTAAGCAGCTACTTTTAAGAAGTACGGCTTCCATGATACCACAACATGCCTCAATTACTACCCTGTATTTTTTTCTAGCAGATGAACCCACTTTGCCCTGGCTGGAATAGCCCTTAGTTTGACACAGAAAAGTCGGTCACCTGGTAAACCCAGGCCCTCTGGCACTCATAAGCACCACCCTTGACATGATAGTGCCTTATAGTACAGTTTCCTGAGTTAGCTGCCTGTCTACTCTATTCCCCAGAGAAGGAATGCCCTCTCCTGGAAGTGGGAATAGACATATGACTGTGTCCCTCAAACTGCTAATTTTTCCTGGTTTCAGACTTCATGGACTGCAAAATTGTGTGTGGCCAGGGACATTTGGCCCTAGTGGCTGAAGGTGCTACTACAAGCTTCAACCACACGGCCATACTGAAATTAATTTAAATTAATGAATTTTAAAAACAAAGAAGTCACATCTTTAAACTCCTAGATATGCCACGTTTCAGTTGCATAGATTTCATGGTCTTGATGTTCTGGCACTCACAGATAGAAAGAAGAAAAGACAGAAAGCCATCCTCATTATTATTATAGATGACTGTTTCTCCCTAAAACAGCAAAATGACCAAGCCAGGATGAAGAAACAGTACTCAGAGAATAGCTACAGGGCAGTCTCTATAGAGGAAGCATTTTATTTATTCTCGACCATCATGCTTTAACGGGGAAATCTTGGTGAGTTTTATATGGTGCTCCAAATGGATTTCTACATTCTGCAGCAGTCCTCTAGGATCTATTGTTCCCAGATAATTCAACAGACCCAAGTACTAGTCTACCTGTTCCCTATATATGGGCTGCTTCTCTCTCCCCTCACACTCCCTCTCTCTTTGTATGCTGCATTTATAAAACTGGGCCCGTGAAGACAACATCTTGTTTCGAAGACCTTCTAAATTGCATTTTCTTACCATGTTACATCAGCCTTGTCTAAGGCAAACCCGAAATCCACTTCCTGTCTACTGACTTCCTCTTTGATTTATGTTACTTATTTACAAATTGGGTTATGGTTTGCTCCACACTGTCTTATGTAAGTGCTACTATTAGCCTCTTTTATTAGCTTTTCATTATAAGCCTGGGGACCAGACCAAACATGACCTTTCCAGAGGTGCAAACTCCATGCGCGTGAATGCATGTCATGAGCTGCGATGGGTTGCTGAAGAATTATTACGTCTTTCCGTTGCCCTGCTCCTTCCACCTCTGACAGAGCTGCATCATACAGACTTAGAAAGTACTTCTTGTTCTCTAGGGTACATGGATAGCATTTCCTCTATATTGCTTCAACAGGATTGCAAGAACTCTTCCATCAAAACAAGACTGATTCCCAACTTCAGCATCCCTTGCTACCCAACTCCCTTATTCCCCAAAGGAAGATTATTTCCATTTCTCAGTTGTCTTCTTCCTCTATCTTTTCCCTTCAGCCCAGTGATTTCTCTCTATTTTTCTCTTTTATTGAGGTCCTAAAAAGTGACTCCAACACTCCTGCCAAATAAAATCTTAAGAAATGGAAGTAGTTATGTATAACTGCTTCATTTCAATTTGCAAATCATCTGAACGTGCTCCTTCTCAATCCTGAATGCAAATGCAGACACCTTTTTCTTCTTTTGAAAGAAACTTTGCACATTCTGAAACTTGCCATTGCATTTGAAAAATACACATTTCTTTTTCACAATTGCATCAATTATGCTCACTTTTCCTTTTCAAAAAACCACTAAAACTAAATGAAAAACAGACTGCAAACAAAACTGAGCTTAGAAGTTTAGAGAATTTCAGTAAATCTGAATGTCCTTGCTTCTCCCATCCCTAAATGGAAGGCTAAAGAGGTGTAGTCCATGCCTTAAGTATTTTCTCAGTCTGTGGTTTAACACTAAAGCATTGTGGACATAATGCAGCCAAGTGTGAGGGATCTCAAAGGATGGTGAACATCTAACAGGCGTTCATGATCTAGCCCCCAGG